GTGGTGCTATACTCATATAATCCAGCTACTTGGGAGGCTGAAGCAGGAGGGTTTTAAATTTGAGGCCAGTGGGCAACTTAGAATTACCATGTCTCAGCCTATATGAAAATGAAGTTCAGAGATGTTCACAGAGTGGTCCAAGTTAACAGCAGAAGAGTTGCAGAACTTTGACTTGAAATCTATGTTTTATGATCCCATATAATATGCCACTTAGTCCCATTCTGCTGTCCTCACCCTCACACCAATAGCGTTAGAGCTTAAAGGGGCAGTTGTGCTGGGGATGGGCAGGACTGGAGCCTACACATTTCCAATCTACACAGTGTTAGTCCAGGTTGGTCAATTTATTCACATGAAACTGGTACATAAGTGATTTGCAATGAAGCTGCCTCTTAGTTTACAGTTGAACACATKCTTTTCCAGTGCATGGACTTTTGTTTGCCTGCTGGTTTACTGAAGTTCTGGTAGGCCTACCTGTTACTATTGGAATGTGTTACTATTGGAAAATGTGTTACTAAATGTGTTACTATTGGAACACTAAGTTCTGAAAGAGGTGTGCAATCCAAAAAGGGGCTCCTTTCTAGTCTGCTTGGCTCTGCTGGGTGTCACTGTAGCTCTTAAACTAGCTCTCCACCCCACCTACTCCAGTGGCTCTTGTTATGGGCATAGGAAATTGATGGTAGAGCTGATAGGGTCATGAGAGATACAGAGAATTTAAAAGTCAAGARTGACAAATTTCAGCTGTAGAAGTCTGACGATTTTATTTCAGTTTTCTCCTCCTATGTTTTTGAGCCTTTATTTGCAGATGGAAGCTACATGTAGCAATACGTAAAGTGCAGTAAAGTATGTGTAAATGTGCTCCTGGCTTCATTTTGATTTCATTTTGATGAAGCCCTTGAGAATATTCTCATGAAGGCCCATGTGTAGATTCTGAAAACGAGTGTCTTCATTCCCACCAATTTTCTAAAACAAGGCCAGTTCAAAGGAGAGAATGGGTATGTTCGTTCAACCATGATGGTTCCATTTTAACCAAGCATGTGGGGTGGTCCAGATGTGAGCAGTATGAATGAAGACAACTTTCCTTTGATGTGGGACACAACTTTTACCAACTTCCCCAAACATATCTTCCCATTTCCTGTGGGGTTCTAGTCTACACTTGTTTAATGATTGTTAGAGCCACAGAAACAAATGTGAATCTGGTTTGCATGCTTCCTTTCCTTAGAAATGAAGGGGGCCTCTGAAACCCAGATTGTTCCTAGGAGCAATGTCAGAAAATAGGACTGACCATTATCTGGGAATGGAAATGAAGCAGTGTTAGTTATCCTTTGCATAGAGAGGCTTGGTGGATCTGATAGGAGGGGTCGTTCTGGTTTGTACATTGAGAGAGGAGAGCAGTCACTCAGATTCTTCCAAGGATTCTTATCTTGGCAATCTGTCCTTTTGTGTATTTGAATTATTTTTCACTAAGTTTATAGTAACTATAAAGAGAAATATAAATCTCTTCCTTTTGAAGATGAAAACTATTTCTCTGTTTCATGACACACATGTTCTCAGCATGAATTTGTTGACAGAATGAGGGATTTGTAAAGAAATATATGGAGTGGGAACTCTTCTTAATGTCTATTTCAGTCCTGCCTACCAAGCCAATATCATTTTGGAGATATTTACCCATAATGAAATTAATCTGGTGTTGCTTATTTTTGATTTGACGTCATCTCTTTTTATTAACTGGCTATGTGTAGTTTGTTTTGTTACTGCCCACATGCACTTTCCCCTGTTATTTAAGATTTATTTACTCTAATACCTTGGATGCAATCCTTGATTATTTGTGAGTTATCCTGTTAGTAATTTTACCTGTTCAGGGTCAGTGTACTAATTCCTGTCCTGCCTACCCCTGTGGGTCCTTCCTATTACAACTGTCCTTCTTTGCAGCTTTAACCTCCAACACAGATGGAGGTGAGGGGCTATGAGGGCAGAAATGGGACCAGGTGGCTGCATAGTGCTGCACTCCTGTGATACCCAGATGTAGCAGTGTGTGTTTCTTTTGTGTTGATCAGTTGGAAATTGAATAAACTGAAAAGGTAATTATCTAGCTATTTTTCAACTGGTCTTGTAGTTGGTAGTCAAAATGGCTGAGTCAGTCTAATATTGTATAAGTCACTAGTTCCTAAATGTTTGTCCAGAAACCATGGCTTTTTAAAAGCCTGAGTTCCTAATCCCATCTGTGCAGATTCTCATTCAATACCTCTCAGCTTGGACCCCTGGAGTCTGCTGTATTTAGAAATTTGTGGGAAATTCTGGTACACATATGTCAAGTATTATGTGTGTGATGCAAGGGTTGTGATTTTTAAGTTTATTTTTTTTTCCTGGTCTCTTAGGTAATTCTGGAAGGGTAGAACTATCCTCTTTAATGGACTATGTTGATCTGAGCATTCTGGGCTATGTGGGAGTGGGATCATTAAGTGGGCATTGGGGACTGATTCTCATCTTGGTTTTGCCACTCTGTTGACCATCCATCAGGTTAGGGATATTTAATCTGCCTGAGACTTAGTTTTATTCGTAAGACAAAGGCATCAGATTATTCAAGACACTTTTCAGCTTCCTAACATTCTTTGATTTGAAGGGCTTTGCTCTACTAGCAATTGTGTCTGTTGTCATTGTTCACTGGGTGTCTCTTACCTTTTCTAAAGGAGTGAATGCCTATTTGCTCAATAGACCATTAATCATGGTCTACTTCTCAGAAGAGCTGGTGTCTGTCCCCCAATCCAAGAGGGCCTTTCTTCCTTTTCTTTTTCTTGTCATTATCATCTTGAAGCCAGTCATTCTCCTCAAGTTCTTATGTTGGGGTGTGTGCTAAAATAAAGTTGCGGTTGTGATTCTGACCCTTTCTCTGCCAACCCTTGGCAATTTTCAACCACTGGACCCTCTTTGCAGGTGAGGATGCTTGTCCTTTTGGATGTAGATGTAACTGATGTCAGAATAGAGAGCAGGGCCTAGAGTGCTTCACTATATTCAACAAATGTTTTGTTTCCAGGAATTTGCCACATATTTGCTAGAGGGTTTGGCTGAGTGCAGGGGCAGAACATGATGTCCCCTTAGGTTTCTGGTCCTTGGCCTTCATGGAGCATCAAAACAAGTAATAGTGGTTTTAAATCATGCATGTCCATGTCACCCCACCCCCACTCAGGACTATTGAATCAGACCCTTCAGAGTGGAACTGGATAAGCAGATTTTTTCAAAGGCTGTCAATTCTCCCTTCCAAACCAACTCTTCTTCCTCCTGTCTGAGCTCATGTAATGTTCCTCTGCCTCTTGAAACTATTTTTAATTAAGGCAGATATAAATAAATGGAGAGTCATCAACAGAATTCTGTAATACTGTGGTCTTATTCTGTTGGAAGAATTTGGTCTTTAAGACTAGAAGACCCTCACAGGTTAGAGGCTGTTTCCTTCTCATTSCCAGGGTTGGGTTTAGGCCTAGGAGCTATCACTACAGATGTATTTAAAAAAAAAATAAGTAATTTTTTTTGTTTTTGGTAATTGTAGATGGACAGAATGCCTTTATTTATTTTATTTTATTTTTTTATTTTTATGTGGTACTGAGGATCAAACCCAGTGCCTCACACATGCTAGGCAAGTGCTCCACCACTGAGCTATAGCCCCAGCCCTACAGATGTACTTTTGACACCTGTCTATAGTGGTTCAATGATTCTCTCTTTACTCTAAAACATGATAGAGATTAGTAGTAAATAAGTCACCTTTTTGTGAAGTATTAACACAATTACTTGTTTATCTTCTATTCAGGGAAATTCACAAATAATTGAGTACTTACAATGTGCTAAGCATTCATCTGAATGTTGAAGATATAGTAGTAAATAAAACAGACAAAAGTCCTGCCTTCATGGAACTTTCTATTCATTAGTACATATGTATATTCACATGGAATTTAACATGACTGAATTAAATGTCTGCGTTGTAGCATTATGAAATACTATTTTAGAATAATTTGTCAGGACTAGCCTTGCCTGGCTATCTCTAAGATCATAAATGGAATCAAAATTTGGAGCTTAGCTTGTGAAATCTACATTTAATTTGCAAAATGCTAACTTGGGGACTGTGTTCTACTAATTCAGCATGTGGTCCATAATTCAGGTAAATATTTTTTTGGAGGTAGAATGTATAAAGCATTAGGTGTAGAACTTTGCTACTTAAAAGGTAGCCAAGGACAGTGACAGAATTGCAATTCATCTTTTTATTTTGGGACTAGTATTTAATAAAGTCTTTCTTTGACATTGTGTTTTAGCTTGATGTATTTAAATATTTATTTCAGTGTATGTGAAAATACCTTGGAGCCCTGGGGTTCCCACTATTTTATCTGTTTATTTCACCTGTTCAATGAAAGCATTAATTTGAGCTAAATGCTTATGTTTCAGGCCTTGGGGCTGAATTACTACTTCACGAATTTCCACAAATTTCTATATTCACCTTATGTGGGTTAATGTAGCTTTCCAAATTGTCTGCTTTACTTTTGTGTTGTGATTTATGCACTAAAATTATTTGATACAGTTAGACATGAAAATTTTGAGTTGCTTTCAAAGAATTTAAAAATTATTTGAATCTTTTAGTATTTCTGCCTTAAAAGTAATTTGGTAAAAGGAAAGCTGTTGTCATTCATACACATATACATACACACTTTTTTTTTTGGCCATGAGTTATGATCTTGGATTCTCAATGCATTTTAAAATATTGTTGGGTGTGCAAACACAACAATGAGTTAAGAGCACATTTGATATTAATTTTAAAATATCAAGAGAATATGTAAAAGAAATCAAGGATCAGCTTTTAGTCCTATTTCCGGTGGCTATTTGTGAATTAACTAACTTCAGAGAGAATCGGTGTGAGAGAGGAAGAGGAAAAAMAAAGATATTCTGGAAGTAATTATTAATGCTGAAATTTCCATATCTAATTTTGGAATGTGACATGGCAACAAAAATGTATGTTTCAGGTTTGTGGAGAAAAACAGCGCTTCGAGAAGTTGATGGAACATTTCAGGAATGAAGACAATAACATAGATTTTATGGTGAGTTATTTAATACTACGTTCAATAAAGCAAACTCAATGTCAGCACTTTTTCCCTAAGTATATTCATACATATACATACACATGTGTTATACAGGACAGACAGAAAATTGAGTATAATATGCTATAGATCCTTTCTAGAATGTTTCTCTTCATCTGTATCTTCCCTTTGTGGTATTTGTTTACAGTTTTATTCATTTCAAACACATTCAGTAAACGCCAAGAGTGCTGATTATGTATGGCAAATAAAGGGGGAAGCCACACAACTGGGGAAAAGTAAATTGAGACCTGGTTCAAATGCTTACAACTGCCAACTTGAACTACCAATGGTACTACATAATATTTGTAGGGTATAAGGAATCTTGATGTTTTTGACTTTTGCAGACTCCAGTCAGTTGCCCTTCTCCAGACTGTATTCTCAAAAACTATGCACTTTGCTTTGTAGAATTGACTCTTCAGCAGTGATTCCCCCTCCTTCAATCTCTTTCCTCCTTTAGTAACTCTGTGATGGCATAATCATACTGTACATCTTCTTAGCAGGCTAAATCACATGCTGAATATCTGGTTTCATAGCAGTGCTATCGTTCTCAGGTGAGCACAGCAAAATACATTTAAGCACTTCTGAATCCATATGCCCAAATCTTATTTCTGGACTGAGATGGGATTTACCATAGAGAATTTCCTGACACATTATACACTGCTGTAGTAGATTTGACCCAATCCACTTGCTCTAGTGACCTTCTGGACCCAGGAGATCCTTAACTGAGTTTAACCTAACCTGGAGCAATTATCCCAAACAGTTCTTACATTGCAAAGCCTATACTTAGGATGTCATGTAAAGTTTTATTTTGAATTGCTTTAGTGACTATAAAGTGTAAAACAGAGCTTTTCAGATTTCTAACCCTTTTATGTGAATTTTCTTTTTTCTGGGACCTCAAATTTTATATGCATCCCTAGCCTTCATCTCCTTCCAAAATCAGTGAGAAAGATGAAATCTTTTATAGAGAAACTGTTCTTTTCCATAAAGCATGTTATTTGCTTTGGAAAAATGAAAAAACATGTATGTGAAACAATGCATACTTTTATATTCTTCTTAGGATTTTCTGGAGAAGTTCAGGCGAATGCTGGCACTGGTAATGAATATGTAAAGAGGTCTGGCCTTGGTTTACATTACCAGCTTCTTTTCTGTTCCTTGTAAGGAGGAACTTTCTTGTTTGATTAGAGCTGAGGGTGCAAACTGGAGGTCCCAGACTGAAGGCATGCTACAGGCTTGGTGAACGTAATGTTAGATGTTTGATTTTTTATTTTTATTAAAAATGTCTGATAACATTAGGCCCCTGTTTCTTTAAAGATATTATCTCCAATTTGTCACAATCTTCACTGTCCATTATTGTATTACATATGACCCATCTTACTTATTTATGATAACTGCTAACCCTGTCATTTGAGTTTGCTGAAATTATAAGCCCATTAAAACATCTATACCTAGCTACATCAATGTTTATAGTAGCTCAATTCTAAAATCTTAGAGAGTTTATACATCTTCCAAAGATGTCCAGTATGTAAAAGTGCAGCCTAGGTGACCTTCAACAGATGAATGGATAGAGAAAATGTGGCATATATACCCAATGGAATACTTTTTTCTTGTTCATAAAGAAGAAGGAAATTACTGATATTTACTCATAAATGGATGGAACTAGAGACTATTATGCTAAGTGAAATAAACCAGTACCCCAAAACCACAGGCCAAATGCTCTCTCTGTTATGCGGATGATAGCACACAATAAAGAGACTGGGAGAATAGAAGTTCATTGGATTAGACAAAGGGGAATAAAAGGAAGGGACAGTGGATGGCAATAGGAAAGACAGTAGAATCAGACATAACTTCCTATGTTCATATATGAATATACAAGCAGTGTAACTGCACATCATGTACAACCACAAGAATGGGAAGTTATACTCCATGTATGTATAATATATCAAAATACACTCTTTTGTCATGTGAATCTAAAAACTACAACAACATCAACAACAATAAAACACATACACCATTGTATTACAGATTAGAGCCAGTTCCTGTCAGTTCACTTACTCATATGCACACATGCAAGGTACCTTCTTGACAGGCTGCAAGAATTCAACTCCTGGGCATTGCTGGGCACTGGTGCATACCTGTAATCCCAGTGACTTGGGAGTCTGAAATAGGATGATCACAAGTTCAAGGCCAGCCTCAGCAATTTAGCAGGACCCTGTCGCAAAAAAAAAAAAAAAAATAAATAATAATAATAATAATAATAATAATAATAATAGTAAAAAGAACTGGGGGGTGATGCTCAGTGGTTAGTGTCCCTGGATTCCAATCCTTACTATGAAAACAAACAAAGAAAATTCCCCCAAACAAACCCCAAATACTGTTATTGCTGGATTCATATGTTATATAAAAATAGTTGTCTTTTAGGTATATTATAAAGTCAGCAGATCATTTAGATCTATTTTTCAGAAGAGAAATGGGAAGATGCTAGAATTCAACCACATTTTCCCTCCAGAAAATGAGGTTTTTGATAAACTGGGAATGCAGTTACATTGCCCAATCTCCCAAACAACATATTCCTCATAACATGTAACTTTTTTTTTATATGTAGTTTAAGACCCTTTTCTGTATTTTTGTGGAGAAAAGAAAACAAAAAACTGTCAAAATGATTTTTTTAAGTTCATTTAACCATAGACCTTGAAATACTTTTTGATAAATTATAGTAGAGTCCCCTTGTAACTTAGAGAGTTTATACATCTTCCAAAGATATCCAGTATATAACATTCCAAGAGGACTCTAACTCAGTAAAAACAATCTATTTATTTATTTATTTACTTTCTTATTTATTTATTTATTTATTTTATTGGTTGTTCAAAACATTACAAAACTCTTGAAGTATCATATTTCATACATTTTATTCAAGTGGGTTATGAACTCCCATTTTTACCCCAAATACAGATTGCAGAATCACATCGGTTACACATCCACATTTTTACATAATGCCATATTAGTAACTGTTGTATTCTGCTACCTTTCCTATCCTCTACTATCCCCCTCCCCTCCCCTCCCATCTTCTCTCTCTACCCCATCTGTTGTAATTTAATTCTTTCCCCTGTTTTTTTCCCTTCCCCCTCACAACCTCTTATAAGTAATTTTGTATAACAATGAGGGTCTCCTTCCATTTCCATGCAATTTCCCTTYTCTCTCCCTTTCCCTCCCACCTCWYGTCTCTGTTTAATGTTAATCTTTTCCTCMTGCTCTTCCTCCYTKCTCWGTTCTTAGTTGCTCTMMTTAWATCAAAGAAGACATTTGGCATTTRTTTTTTARGGATTGGCTAGCTTCACTTAGCATAATCTGCTCTAATGCCATCCATTTCCCTGCAAATTCCATGATTTTGTCATTTTTTAGTGCTGCGTAATACTCCATTATGTATAAATGCCACATTTATTTTATCCATTCATCTATTGAAGGGCATCTGGGTTGGTTCCACAGTCTAGCTATTGTGAATTGTGCTGCTATGAACTACCGTATCCCTGTAGTACGCTCTTTTAAGGTCTTCAGGGAATAGTCTGAGAAAGGCAATAGCTGGGTCAAATGGTGGTTCCATTCCCAGCTTTTCCCAGGAATCTCCATACTGCTTTCCAAATTGGCCGCACCAATTTGCAATCCCACCAGCAATGTACAAGAGTACCCTTTTCCCCACATCCTCGCTAGCACTTGTTGTTTGACTTCATAATGGCTGCCAGTCTTACTGGAGTGATATGGTATCTTAGGGTGGTTTTGATTTGCATTTCTCTGACTGCTAGAGATGGTGAGCATTTTTTCATGTACTTGTTGATTGATTGTATGTCCTCCTCTGAGAAGTGTCTATTCAGGTCTTTGGCCCATTTGTTGATTGGGTTATTTGTTATCTTATTGTTTAATTTTTTGAGTTCTTTGTATACTCTGGATATTCGGGCTCTATCTGTAAAACAGTAAAAACAATTTTTAAAAAGCTAAGGGGAGGGGCTGGGGCTTAGTGATAGCACACTTGCCTGGCATGTATGAGGCACTAAGTTTGAGTCTCAGCACTGCATATAAATAAACAAACAAACAAACAAATAAATAAATAAAGGTATGTCTATCAACAACTATAAAAAAATAGCTAGGGGGAATTGGTCTTGGGGAAGAGGTTGGTGATTATGAACCTGAGTCCCTCAGTCATTTTACCTTCTTCCTGGAGCTTCTGCTGGGTCATTGCCTTTGAGGGAAAGCCTGAGCAAGATATTTCCACCATAAAAGACTGTCACTATCAAGAGCAAAATAGATTTTTTGAATTCTGTTTTATTATTTATTAGATTGGAAACTAGTTTTCTCTGGGACAGATCTTAGGGCCACTGCTGCAATTGTGAGGAGAAAGCACCAAATCAAAGCTTTCATGGAATAGAAATAGGGTGATTGCATGGAAAGATGGGCCAAAGCTCTGTTCCTGTTCTCTTGGTAGGCTGGAGTACAGAGAAAATGTTTAGAAAAAATTACCTTGTAGTGAGGGTTATAGGTGATGTAGTCCATTAAATGTTGTTGTTTGCAATAGTTTTCATATTTTTATGCTATATATATACCTGTACTAATTTACTTGATTTGCCGTGTGTACTACATGACTTTTTAAGAACAGGTTTACTGACATACGATTCTCATAACTTCCACATTACCATTGAAAGTGTATAGTAGGTTTTTTAACCATCACCACAATTTAGAACATTCTGTCACCCCCCCCCAAAGAATCTCTGTGCCTGTTAACAGCAACTTTCTATTTATTTTACCCCCACCCTTAGGCAATCGCCAATCTATTTTGTATTTCTATAGTTTAGCCTGTTCTGGGTATTTTAAATGAATGGAATCATAAAATGTGTGTGTGTGTGTGGGGGGGGGTGGTGTGTTGTGCTGGGGATTGAACCCTGGACCTCATGCATGCTAGACAAGCACCTTGCCACTGAGCTATATCCCCAACTCTTCTGTGGTTGTTTTTGATTGGTTCTTTCCACTTACTATGATATGTTCAAGTTTGTCCATGCCATAACATGTATCAGCCATTTCATTCCTTTTTATTGTTGCACAATATTCCATTGTGTAGATAAACCACATTTTGTTTATCCATCAGTTGGTGGACATTGGGTTCTTTCATGTGGTTATAAATAATACTGCTATGAACTTTTGTGTACAAATTTTTATGTGTATATGTTTCTTTTAGCTACATAAGTCACATGGTAACTTTAACATTTTGAGGAGCTGTCACACTTTGCAAGGTGACTACATCATTTTATGTTCCCACTAGCAAGGAATGAGGGTTTCATGTTTCTCTACATCCTTGCCAACACTTCTTACTATATTTCTTTTTATTATCAGTCATCCTAGTGGCTGTGAAGTAGTATCTTATTGTGGTAACTCTATGACTTTTTAAATTAAAAACATTGTAAAATGTTATTAAAGACCCAGTGAAATGAAGGACTTGGTAAGTGAGCCTAATTTGTGTATTAAAAGCATATGCCTATGATTCAATGAGAAAAAAGTTTAACGTCTGTCTAATCCCTTGGCAATTTCATTTCAGGTGGCCTCGATGCAGTTTATTAATATTGTAGTCCATTCAGTAGAAGATATGAACTTCAGAGTTCACCTCCAATATGAATTCACCAAATTAGGCCTGGATGAGTATTTGGATGTGAGTATAGCTTATAACCTTTGGCTTCAGTGTAAGAATTGATTTATTGCTTACCCTCGGTGGTGCACTTCTATAGTGGCTAAGGAATGCTTAAAGCTCTGCATAGTCAACTACTGTCGTGTAGTTAAAAGGAACCAATCCAAGTGATGCAATCTGCCAGAGAAACCGGATTCTTGTAGACCTTCTGGGACCTCTGGCAGTCTTTTGCCAGCAGCCTTTTAGTACAGGAGCCAGATGACCTCTTGCAGTCCGGCTGCAGCTTGCCAGTGTTTGTGAGCTCAAGTCTGGGTCAAGTCTCATTGCATCCCTCACCCAACTGCTGCACAGTTTGCATTCTTGGTTACTCTGAGGGCCCCATCTAGGCAGGGAAAATCAATCCAAGACTGCTGTAGAGTGAAGAGAAATGCTCCGAGGATAAATAATGAGGAAATGAAGACTAGAAACTTCCTCCTGAAGCTGTTAATTTTTGCTTGAAGGGTTTGTGGCTTTAGAAGTTCCACTTTTGGGTTTTGGGAGAGGGGTGTTTAATTTCTCTTTTCCAGGTTTCCTTGCAGAAGTGCTCAGCTAGTTCTCTGAAGTTCTTCAGTTAAGAAACTGAAAGTTGATGTTCAAATCATAAATGGACATGAGAATCTATGCATGTGAAGCATGTCCTTTGACTCCTAGACAGTTTTGTTTTTCTTTCCATGTAAGAATGGTCCAGTTGAATTTGGAAGATTGGGCAGGAATTGCTGACCTCAATTTCAAGGCCGTTTCTAGCTATAGAGATGATAGGAGCTCTTCCCTTGGACAATTGTGATATTTAGCTATCCATCTTCATGAAGGATGAAGTTGAGATTTCAAGCACTGTCTTTTCACAGCACTGGGAGGGAAAAATCACAGAGATGGTTACTCTTGACCTGAGCGGCCTTGCTCACCAGAGCAACCAAGCTACCCTGGAGTAGACTGTCCTAATGTCTAAAGTCTCTACTCAGGGAGAGACATAATGGATTTCCATTAAAGACATGTTGGAATTATTTTCCTATAATTTAAAGACCCACTGATGCCATTTTTGGAATATTGTATTTAAAGGAATTTTTTATGCATTGATGTTGAAGTTTATCTGTCCTCTTTCCTCATATGTTCAGAGCAACAGTATTTGAACAAAAATTGGGCACATAAATTCCTAATGGTTTTCTGGGTTTGGCTTTGTGATATCTTGCTTTATACTCCAATGTGTAATGGCAGGTTGGTGACCTATCAGTGAATACCTATTATTCATTGTGAATCTTGTGAAAAATCACAAGAAATTTCTTCACCATTTTCATCATTTTCTGTTCTGGCCTTTGTTTTGAACTGTGGTGGAACATACCCTCTTTCAAAATAAGCTAAATTGTAGGTTAGAACCTAGCAGAAAACCCATTTTTCCAAGAATTTACATGAAATGGAATTCCTCTTAAAATTTTTGAATTTTATCAAAACTGTATTTCTTGAACTTTGTAAGTATATTGATTCTGCACTCTAATAGATAGAGGTAGTTAGAAAAGTAATATGATGAATACATAACATATAAATACCATATTAGTTTACAGAAGCAGCTTTGCATGTAGTCTTTGATTTGTTCAAAAATGCTATTGGCATTATCCATGTGCCAGATATTATTCAAGCCACTCATTTATCCTCAGGAAAATTCATAACTAGTGTTTCTTGTAGAGAAGATTCATTGATTTATTTGGCCTTCTCTGAGGCAAGTTTATCTTAGTAGTATCTGAATTCCTTCAGGATCCCTGATCAGGGATAGAGTGAACTGGGGAAAGCTTTCTGATCTGTGCTTTGGAAGCCCTGAGCTGTTGGTGTGGGGCACTGCCTTAGGGAAGCATTCATGAAGAGTGAGCTCTAGAAATTTGCACTAAAATAAACCCAAGATTTGGGCTAGGATTGTGGCTCAGTGGCAGAGCACTTGCCTGATGAAGCACTGAGTTTGATCCTCAGCACCACATAAAAATGAATAAAATAAAGGTATTGTGTCCATCTACAACTTAAATTAAAAAATAAATAAACCCAAGGTTAGTCACCTCCTGTATAACTTTGTGTCCCACCTGGGTCCACCATCTCTATCCAGGCAAGATGCACCTACTACAGTCTCCTCTACTACCCCAACACCCCTTTAAGTTTTATATTGTTTCTGACCGTTCCCTCTCAAAGCTACTTTTAGTTCTTCTGTTTTCTTGATTTCACATATATCAAATTGTTTTAGATTGGAGTATAACTACATGGGGTAGGAAGTATTGGGGGGAAAATTGTATATGTAAATACACACATGTAAATATGTATATTTTATATACTTATATTTACATGTGTGCACATTAAATATTCACATAGTTATGTAAATATTTGATGGGTAAGAAACCAATCTGATCCTACCTTCTTAAATAGTCACTTCATCATTCTCTTAAGGAGGATGATGTCTTAAACCTTTTGGAAAAGGCTGGACTTTGGGAAGAAACAAACCTTGTAGACGGTTGGGTAAGTTTGTTCTGTTTCCAAAGATAAGCTAATGTCACTTCTCAAATTCTGATTTTTAGAAGCTGAAACACACAGAGAGTGACAAGCTGCAAGTACAGATTCAGGCTTACCTGGACAATGTGTTTGACGTAGGAGCTCTGCTGGAAGATGCAGAAACCAAGAATGCAGCCTTGGAGAGGGTGGAAGAACTGGAAGAAAACATCTCTCATGTAACTACATCTCAGAAAAGGGAAAATTGCTGACATTCCCTCTGGGTGCAAAGTAGAACTAACATACACTTTTGTGGCAGTAACTTAAAAGAATCAGAGTCTAGAAATGAGCTGTGACTGTTTAGAGAATTATCATAAACCATTCTGGGCTCTTTCAAAGAAGGCAGATGTGTTACTGAAAGCAAAATGGAACCCCTTGCTTTGCCTCAACTGACCTACCTCTCAGGACTGCAAAATAAATTGCTTGTCCTGACAATCAGTTACAGGCACAGGAGGATTGAATCACTGGCATTACCTAAGGGATTAGAGGGGAATGAAATATGGGAATTTGGCATGAGATGAATAAGTATTTTCTGAACATTAGCCACCTTCTTCTCAAAATGTCCACACAGTCCCTTGGAGATAATTAAATAGTGTCTTTTGATGCTTATCTAAATATTCCTGTCTTAATCACTTAATAGTTTCATTTTAGCAGTAGATGTTTTTAAGGAAATCAGTGAGCTCTCCCAAATATCATCTTCGTTGAGGAAGACTATCCTCTCAGAACAGTGTCATCTCTATATTGGGGTAGTGATCTGATCTTGTGTGTGTGTGTGTGTGTGTGTGTGTGTGTGTGTGTGTGTGTGTGTAGGAGGGGGGATTGACTAGGGACACTTCACCTCTCAGCTACATCCCCAGATCTTTTGATTTTGAGACAGGCTCTCACTAAGTTGCTGGGGCAGGCCTCGAACTTGTGATCCTCCTACCACAGACCAAGTAGAATAAGAGTCTTAACAGTCTTCAGAGGTTGTTTATTTGTTCATTAAACAAATATTTCAGAGAGTACAAGAACAAACAGAGAAACCTAAGAATTTTGAACCAAATTTTTGGCCTGAATTGATTACCACTTTTCTTTATTGTGAAGTGAATTGTCCCCATTTGGGGGAATATTATTTTGCCCTTTGAACAACCCACATATTTCTCCCCATATTTTATTTTTAAGTACTGGGTGTGTGTCATTTCCTTTGCCTTTTACCATTACTTTGAAAATGGGCATCTGCCTGGCTTGTGCTGAGCCCCCAACTCTCCTTTTGTAAATACTACAATGAGCTAGTTGGCGTTTATGAAACAGTCTAAAAGCCCAGTATCTCTCCCCTTAAGAGATTTGTATTTTGTTCTGAGCCTGATTAGTGTAAATCTCCACTCTTCGTCTTTACATTTTCTCTATGATTTCCTTTACTTACTGATCATTTTTAGTAAGATGTAAGAAATCAGAAATTGCTTAATCATACAGCTGTGTGCAGAAAGCTCCTTTTAAGTAAATAGTGCATGTGGTTTCTCCCCCGCTGCCCCCCACCATCTCTTATTCAGCCTCAGCTAGTATGACCATAGAGTCTACTTTGTAGCAGGCCATCTTTATTTGAATGGCTCCTCCAAATAGCTTTTATTAGTTGAATAATTTGCATTGAAACAATCTGTTGTGCCTTTTTTTTTTTTTCCAGCTACATCAACAATATTCAAAAGCTTTTACCTGACATCTCTTTCTTGGGGATGGGGATGACTCTCCTCCCTCACCTTACTGTTCTCAACCCTTGCTAGCTCCAAAGGATCGGAGGGAGACACATTGGATATTTAAACACTGAGGTTTTTATTAAAGATCATGTATAAATTATTCTTGGGAGAAACAAATATATTTCCAGAACCATATTATAAATACTAACATTTCCATTAAACAATTTGTATAAGGACATGCAGGAATCTAAAGGGCCCCTAAAGGTCTTAGAGCTACACTTTCTGAGGACTAAGGACCTGGTCTAAATGATCCTGTGTTGTGACACAGTTTCCTTTTCAACATTTTACAGTTATCTGAGAAACTGCAAGACACAGAAAATGAAGCCATGTCTAAGATTGTGGAACTGGAAAAGCAGCTCATGCAGAGGAACAAGGAACTGGATGTTGTGCGAGTAAGTGTAATGATGACAGTCCCCCAGGTGGAGTGATGGTAGATGTGGTCCAGCTTTGGGCTGGTTGAAGCATTGATGCAGCATGTTTATTCGGGCCATTTCAGAGGTGATCCTTCAATGGAAAGTGCACGTAGTCAGAGTCTGTGTACACATGTGCATGCACTCACATACTGGAGGTTCAGGATTTCCTTATCACAGATTTTGGGAGCAACAGTTTTCCCATTTGGAGGAGGATGAGTTGATTCTGAGGCTCACCCATTTAGAAGGAAATCAAAACATAGCATGAATTTAATTCATGCCACTAATTTATTTTTACTAGGACTTGGACTTCATTGTATTCCTTTACTTTACTTTGTATTCCTTTACAAACTGGGTTTGGTGGTTGCTGTGGAAACCGTGAATCACAGCACAGGCTAGACCTGGTGACATTCACCAAGAAAAAAAAGGAAAAAGCAAAGCCAATTAATTTTATTATCAGATAATCCCAGTTATTTGATTTGGCTGTAGCGTTGTTTTACCTTACATGTCAAGTATTTATGGAGTGCCATCCGTGTGCTTGGGATTGTGCAGAACATAAAAGCACCAACATGCCTGGAGGGGGTTTGGGCAAATGGCTTGCCCTTACACCACTGTTTAATGCAGCAGCACATTTTATGTGATGGTTATCATGTCTGTGTGTGTTGCCTGATATTCTGACATGTCCTTTAGTTAACTCTGGAAATTTATTTTCTGGCACACCATCGAGACAAAGTTGTAGCATATGGACTCAATTCAAAGTTCAGACTCTCAGATTATTAATAATAGACAGGGTGTGAAGAATGTTTCCCTGCCTGCTGGAGGTTTGTGGTGAGAGAGCACATGTGCAAGGCCCAGCAAGTAAGTTCAATTCCATAAAACTCCTTTCACTGGAACTTCTATGGGCCCCTAATAAAAGAAACCAGGGCAGCCTTTGAATTGAAAATTGTAACTTCTTTGTTTTCTGCTAAAAACCTACACAGAAATAAGTAATTAGTGGAGGGAAGCTCAGGCCTGTTTTGTTAACTGCATTACCAAAAGGAAAACGTTACAACAATTGCTGTCCTGAGATTGGTCAAGGGGGCATTATGAGGGCCAGAGAAACCCATTCAAGAACAGTCAGCCCCTGGTTACTCATGAATAGATTAGTCTATGCTTTGCGGATTTTTAATCCTAGTCTGACTTCTATCCGAGTCTGATTTAGGGCCCTTTGTTTATGATTAGCTGATATGCGTACCTCAGAGTTACAGATGGATTTGAAAATTAGTGAAAGGAAAACATGCCACATCAGCAGAACTTCTCTGGACATTTCAAAGTCAGCTTTTGGGAATAAAAGTCATCTCTGCTCTCTTCCTTTCCCCCTGCAGGGAAAATTGTGTTAGCAGGATTCATTAAATGGAAAGAACTTAATTAGCAATAACAGTTGCTGGAGTATATTGCATGTATCAGTAGTATAATTCATAATTAGTGGGACCATATAAGTTCTGGCTGAATTTTATAGAACTTTTATTCATATTCAGTGTCCTTTTTTCTCTCTTTTTAGTTAATTCCTTTATCCTCAATTTGCCAGTCTGATGGTCATAAATGTGAATGTCTTGCGGAGACAAACTCTTAGCCATGAACTCTTTTGCAGGAAATTTACAAAGATGCAAATACCCAAGTTCACACGTTAAGAAAAATGGTTAAAGAAAAAGAAGAAGCCATTCAAAGACAGTCTACCCTGGAAAAAAAGATTCATGAACTGGAGAAACAAGGGACCATTAAAATTCAGAAGAAAGGGGATGGGGATATTGCTATATTGCCAGTTGTGGCTTCTGGCACAATGTCCATGGGGTCAGATGCAGCACCGGGTAACTTTGTGGGACCAGTTTCAGGGGCTGCCTCCTCGGGACCCTTGCCTCCTCCTCCCCCGCCACTACCTCTATCATCAGACACACCTGAAGCAGGTAAGAAGCCATGTGGGAGAACTAAGTTTATACAACCAGGTTATCTGTGTTTCTTCTTTTACCAGTTGTCTACTTTTGTCCTTTGCTTTTGTTGGCACATTGTTTTACTGATTTTAAGAACTATTTGTTTTGAGATTAAGGTTATAAATCTTCATTTCACTTATATTCAAGTATTTCCCCATCTGTTGATAAGGAAATTTATGGTTTTGGAAAGCAAACCTTTATCCTTTTAAGTGTTTTTATATTGCCTCTATGCACAACATGTTGTAGGAAGACCATTTCTGTTTTCAAAGTCAATTGGTTTCTTTTCTTCTAGTGCAAAATGGCCCAGTAACACCACCTATGCCTCCGCCTCCTCCGCCTCCACCTCCCCCACCTCCTCCKCCTCCMCCKCCCCCACCTCCTCCTCTCCCTGGTCCTGCAGCAGAGACTGTGCCAGCTCCTCCTTTGCCACCACCCCCTCCTCCCTCTGCACCCCCGCTGCCTGGAACATCTTCACCCACAGTGGTTTTCAACTCAGGATTAGCAGGTAAGAGCACAGAATTAAAACCAGGGTATTCATGTAAGAAGTGCTCATTTGCCCACCTCCAGAGAGTTAAAGCCTTTCTTTCGAAGATAGGTCTTTTGCAATGACATGGACCTTCTCTTAGTATAAGAACATTTCTGGTAGTGTAGCTGAAATTGTCATACATGGGCAGCATTGGCCTTTGTGTGGCCTTTATCACACTCTTCCTTAGCAGGAGGTTCTGATCTCTCACCTCATTTTCCCACCTTCAACTGAAAGAAGAGAGACGACTTGCCTTCATAAGGACCAGTGCATTTTTGCGAACTCAACAAACACTTCTTAGACACTTGTAATGGTTAAAGCAAAGAGTTTAAGTGCTTCAGGGTCTTTTTCATTTTTAAGAAATTTGAAATGTCATATATAAAATGGAAAAATGCCTTTTTGTGTAATTGCCTGACACAGGCTTCCACGCATGTCTTCTGAGCATTTAAGGAGATCAGAATTTGCAGAAGCAGATTAAACTTCAAGGGGAAGTGCTGCCAACAACAGTGCCTTAAAAGGCTTCTTCATAATGACTCTTGCTGTCCTGCTAACTAGGAGATGGAGTGTAGCACCTGGCTCACCAGAAATAACCAGGGGCTGGCCAGTGAGAGGAGGGCATTACTTTAATTATTTGATATAAGTTTTTATTTTTGACTCTTGGAAATGAATTTCTGCTCTGTCTATAATGCTACAAGCAGTCTCCCAGACATTCAGGACTGCTCTGAGGTTGCTGTGTTGTTGGGTAACTGCTTTCTCATTCACTCTAGTCTGTTTATGAATTCTCCTATTTGCTGTGAACAACTGCTCTATCAGCCTCCACTTCTGAGGCTGCAGGAGTTTTCAGAGACTTTTGCCCGAGGTCTGAAAGATAGTCTTGGCTATAAAGATTTCCTATTCTCTATCCCTTCAAGGGTGCCATCAGCAGCTTTACCAGCCATTTAGTAGGGCTAATTGGCTCTGGTGACTGGAGCCCTTTTAGACACCTGAAAGCTGCTCTTACCACATTCCTTCTATCTCAGATCCATGATGTTACTTCCATCTAGACTTCTATTAAACTGCCTAGCACACAAACAAATTGCCATTTAGAGTAATGTTCATAGTATATTGATGGTTTATTTCTACCCTTCAAGGTCCTCCCATCTACCACTTTCTTCTAGACCTTTTATTGCTTCTGAAGAGAAAAGTTGGAGGAGTGTCTTCGTGGAACTGTTGGATTGTGGAATGTAAATAAACAAACCTCATAACAAGCCCTGGAAATCTATTCCATCACCAGGCTGTTCTCAGTGATCAAGTGTGGAAACCCCTAATTGTCCCGTGCACCTGGGCTCCCTGATTAGCTTTCCTTATAGCCCCTGAGGAGCACTCACTGTGAGATGTGTCTGCCGTGATGTCTCATTTGGAACTGCTTCTTTCTCCCTGGCAAAAGCTAATGTGTAATTCAGCATCCACTTCCATTCACCTGAGCCCTAACACAGAATTCAGATCTGCCTTGGCAGGTGACAGCCAGAGGCTAAAGTGTAGGTCTGGGGCTTCCTTCTGAAGAAGCATGTCCTACCTGGTTATTGTTATTTTTTTTTTTTAATTTCCTTCCCCTCCCCAGCCCGGGTACTTTGCACTACTTCATTTTAAAAATTAGTTTGTTCTTTTGATTACTTCAAGTTTAAGGTGTAGATCTCTGTGCTCAGCTGAAAACCAGCTGCTGCCTTCAGGTTTAGCACAGTTGGAAGTTGTCCCATTGTATCTTATGCCCTTTAGAAGACTATAAGTGAGATTGAAGTAACTCCTTTTTAGTTCCATACTATTGTTTAGTGATTATAAGAGACATTCTGTCTTAAAAGATGTAAGGATTATAAGATCTTATGAGTCTATGATAGCTTGAGATTGGGCATTTTCTGCAAAGCCTTTAATCTCTTTACTATTCATTTTTAGTTTGGTTTTCGGTAGTGATTGAAGCCAATCTTGTAAGATGTTTTACCAGTGTGTTCAGTAGCTCTGCCTCTGGAACCAAGAGGCCAGACAAATTCAGAATGTCCCAAGAGATCTAGCGACAGAGCTGAGCTGATATGCCCAGGGCTCCCATGAAGTCAGAGGACCTGTGATGTCATTGAACCTCTAGGTCCACAAGTAACAGAATCTCTTTATCTCTTCAATGCATACTATATTCTTGGTTGTCACAACATGGGACCAGGAGGAAGTTTACATAGTTTATCTCTAGTTTAGAGTTTTCTTTTATAAAGAAGATACTAGTATTGTGAAATAGGCATTTAAAGTGTAAGGCTTACTTCCTCAAGACTATGATAGAACAATCTTGCTCCCTTTCCTGGGGTAGGTCACCTGTGATGGACTGCTGGGCAGCCTGTGACCTTTGTTGTCTTTGGAAAGATGTGCTTATATCCTCTCAATGAGCAGTTGGACCTTGGATGTTTATTTTTTATTAAATTGTTCAAATCCTATGAAATACCTAACATAGTTCAGTATGGCTGTTTGGGACCCCTACAGTGAAATAAACATTTTCTTTCCCTTCTCTTAAAATGACTAAAAAAAGAAAAAAACACAAAACAAAATAATACATCTTCAAGGCAGTCCTGAATGGAAATGAATTTTTGGCTCCGCGCTGCCTTGTGAAGTGTGTCCGAGAAGCATGAAATTCTATGCTAAGAGAGCGTGAACCACTGAGCCACTTGACTCTAACCATATCTAATTTTTTTTTTAATTTTCTCTATTCTCTCTGCTTCCACAAAAGATGGGCCAATCAAGCTTTTCTGTAGGTTGCTCCTCACCGAGTGTGTTGAGTATCTGCCATGTGTTTCTGTTGGTCGCACTGTGCCTTGACATCTTTCCACTCCATCTTACTTTGACCCATTGCATTTTGACATTGCATCTGCGGGAAGTCTGGGTGTTGGCTGACTGTTACTCCAGGTCTGCCCACACATTTCAGATGAACCTGTAGAAGACATGATTGTCCTGTAGGCAGGAATCCTGGATTCATATGCCACATTTCTTTTCCTCCAAGAAAAGGAATGTTCTTTTCTTTTTGTTTAATTGTCATAGTTGGGTCCAATACAGACCCTAAAAGGATTTTAGATTTATTCTAAGGAAACATGGAGAACAAGTAGAAGCTACTGGGTGCCCCTTTCCAGTGCCCTCTCACTCGTCCCATGGCTCACTTGGTAGAACATCCATCCATTCAGAGCCACTTTCTTTGGTCTGAACCCTGGGGATGCAGTGTATATCATGGTCACCTGCATACCCTCCTGCTCTTCCCCAACTCCATCCCCAAAGTCAGAAAAACTTGCCCCAGAGCTTTCTTGCCTGTGTTCTGATCTCAGGCATGTTCTTTATCTGGCTAAAGAGTCACAAGAAGGGAGACTGCAAATAGAAKAACTGGTAGTGAATGGCCTAAGCCTGTGGTATCTGTGGAGGAAAGGTAGAAAGCAATGGCACCAGCCTGTCACCTCCCTTTGAAAGGAGTCCCTACTGCTCCTCCCCCCCACATCTCCCCCCACCCCCCCAGTGGTCTCCTTCTGCCCACATTGCTGAAGTGGTGGCCTAGAGTAGGGTATGTTCCTTTGTTCCACAGAGGATCCAGTTCTCATGGGTAGTGTGGACACAAGTGAAGTGTAAGGAGGACTCTGACACACCTGGGGTGAGGGTGCCATGTTTGATGGTGGGGAGTCCTGGTTGGCAGAAGCTGTGTCTCTGTGTTCTTGCATGCTTCTGTGTGCATTTTTCAGATGACATTCCTGCTCTTCCTATGGCCTTCATAACTCTGGAGGAATGAGAGGCACTATCAATCTCCTTTTTTCAGTAAACATCAACTGAGGCAGGCAGGTAGACATCCAGTAAACACTTGGGTGTGTTTGGCTTTTTTTCTGCATTGAGGTGCAAGTTCTCCTTCCCTCCCTTGCTAATAATGGCAAAGAGTGAAACTCACAAATAGTTCCTTGGGCTACAGAGTGGTGCAGAGAATGTATATAAGTAGTATAGGAAGACTTCCTTATGATGCAGAATTAATAAATAGCATTTTGAATGGATTACTTTTTTTTTTTTTTTAGTTCATTCCTTAAAGTGAGTAGAGTTGGCACTTCCCTTAGGTCCCTGAAAGAGAATCCCATCCTCTCAACTAAGAGACTTCATTGATGACACCTAGTGAAATATAGCTGACTCCTAGTGAGAACTTGCTTATTAAAAAGAGGGAGAAGGTGCTGTGGCCATCTGTGAGCAGCAACACAATTTTGTGTTTTCTAAGTACCCCTTCTGTCTTCTTAGACATTTTCTGATTTAGGCCATTCATGGTCCCTTATCTTTTGGAAATAACTCAGCAGCCAGTATAATCTCTATTACTGAAGTCACCCATAGGAATGTATCCCCCTGGCTGAAAGTTAGCTTTCTTGGTGTGTCATGTTCCTGATGGTTTAGACAGCCACTATCTGTAGTCTCTGATCATCCTTTAAAGTTTATTTATAAATATGTATTCTAGAAGTAAGAATTTAGGATGTCAGAACTGGACAGGATTTGTCCTCTCTGCTGTCTAATAACAATAATAATTTTTGCTTTCTCTAGCACTTTGTCTTAAGATTGTCCTAATACCATAACTATAAAGGAGCAATCCAGTTTCCTGAATAAAAATAAACAAAACCCCAAATCTTGGTCCTAAAGACAGCTTTTAAGACATTCAATCAAATGAGTTTTTGAATGGCTCCGGCCAAGGCCATATGTAATCTTTTCCACATTTAGAAACATGTGGACTGGGAAAGGTGGCACATACACTTAATACCAGTTATTCAAGAAACTGAGGAAGGAAAAAAATCACAAATTTGAGGCCAGTCCAGAAAATGTAGCAGGAATCTTATCTCAAAATAATAAAGTAATAATAATTTTTTTAAAAGGCTGTTGTTGCAGCTTAATGGTGGAGCTCTTGCCTGTACCGCACAAGGCTCTGGGTTCGTAACAAGAAACAAAATTTTTGGGTGCCTCTTGCTAGCCTTCCTCCAGTGTTAAAGTGTCATCTGTAGAGACTGTTGTCTAATCATTTATGAGGATTACCGAGTCTTGGATCTTAATTTCATTCTCTTTGACATCTTTAGCTGTGAAAATTAAGAAGCCAATCAAGACAAAGTTCAGAATGCCGGTGTTTAACTGGGTTGCTCTGAAGCCTAATCAGATCAATGGCACAGTCTTCAATGAAATTGATGATGAGCGAATTCTGGAGGTATTTGTTCTCATTGGTTAGAAGCTAGAGGGGTGCTCTCCATAGAACAAGGCTAAAATGAGTGCTCTGTTAATCTGCAGGTTTTGCTACTAAAGTATGGTGTTTTTTGTCTTAAGATTGTCCTAATTCCATAACTATAAAGGAGCAATTGTACAAAAGAAGCAGATACTTTAGTACTATCAAAGAATAGCACTGGGGCTGGGGATGTGGCTCAAGCAGTAGCACGCTTGCCTGGCATGCGCGCGGCCCGGGTTTGATCCTCAGCACCACACACAAACAAAGATGTTGTGTCCGCCGAGAATTGAAAAATAAATATTAAAAAAATTCATTCTCTCTCTCTCTCTCTCTCTCTCTCTCTCTCTCTCTCTCTCTCTCTNGAAAAATAAATATTAAAAAAATTCATTCTCTCTCTCTCTCTCTCTCTCTCTCTCTCTCTCTCTCTCTCTCTCTCTCTTAAAAAAAAAGAATAGCTTTGGATACTATTTTATAAGGCAGTTCTAATACTAGATTTATAAAATTAAGTTAAAATGCAATAAAAATGCAGTGAGTAGTTTTGAGTAGTTTCAGTGTATGCCACAAAATTTGTATGTATGCCACAAAATTTGTATGTCACTGTCCCATCTATTAATTTATAAAAGGGCATAAACATCCTTTATTGAACTAGATAGATTAAGGACTCAATTCTCACACTCACTGCCTAGTTTGACGACTAGTTTTAGTTTGTGACAGCTGTCTATGCTAGCTCATTATTGAAAGCAATTGAATCGGCTCGTCGTAATTAGTAGTGTTCTTTGGACATCACTTTTATCTCTGTGTTAGAAGTTACTCTCTTAAAAAACCAGAAAAATAGAGATAGTATTTTAGTTAGCTTTTTTGCTCTTACGACTAAACTGATCTGACCAGAGCAATTTTAGGAGGAAAGGTTTATTTTAAGGCTCACGGTTTCAGAGGTCCTAGTCCATAGAAGGCTGACTCCATTCCTCGGGGCTCCAGGTGAGACTGAACATCATAGCAGGAGAGTGTAGCAGAGGGAAGCAGCTCACATGATGATCGGGAATCAGAGAGAGAAGTCTCTACCAGCCAGATACAAATATATACCCAAAGCAATGCCCCAATTCCCACCTCCTCTAGCCACACCCCACCACTTCAGTTACCACTTAGTTAATCCCTATCAGGGGATTAAATCATTGATTGGGTTAAGACTCCTACAACCCAGTCATTTCTCCTCTGAACCTTCTGCATTGTCTCACACGTGAGCTTTGGGGGGATACCTCACATCCAAACCATAACAGGTAGCCACGGCCAAAGACAAATAATTAATGAGAAAATAAGGTCTTTGCTTAACTAATTGTCTAAATGATAGTTGAATGAATTAATTTTTAAGTATAATCCAGTTTTCCAATGTTATCCTTCTCTATCCCAGGATTTAAATGTAGATGAATTTGAGGAAATATTCAAGACAAAGGCACAAGGTCCTGCCATTGATCTTTCTTCAAGCAAGCAGAAGATAACACAGAAGGGATCAAACAAAGTGACATTACTAGAAGCAAATAGGGCCAAAAACCTTGCCATAACTTTAAGGAAAGCTGGAAAGACTGCTGATGAGATATGCAAAGCAATTCATGTGTAAGTTTGGAGCATTCTGGAAAATTATATCTTAGTAAGTTTAGAATAAAAATGAAAATAAGATAGTTATGAATTAGTAGATGGCAGAGATATTTCAGTAGTGGAGCAAGATCTAAGACAATGGAGCCATTTTTTGATGTCCACACTTAGAACATTCTGCTTATTACATGTCCTTCTGCAGAGCTGAGTAAGATGCCAACACTCTAGAGGTAGACCAGAAGTTCCCTGAGGGAATGCTGTGTTTGAAGGAGTAATTAATTGTTTTAGAAGAATAACATCTGGATTGTGGCATCATTTATCGTCTTGGTCTGCTCTCTTATATAGGCCTACAGCAGTGCTTACATAAAACGAAAGTTGGGCTGAGTGTTGCAGATGTTAAGAGGAGGGAGAAATGTCAGCTTTCTCTGGAGTATCTGGATTTTATCCATATTTGTTGAATATAAATTTGATGGCATTTGTGGAATGATATAGTTCAATGCCAGATGCAAATATGATACAGATGCATATTTTAATTCCTAACAATAGGAATGTGAATTCTGTTGCTCTTAGTATTTTCAGGACATTTTTTGTTTGTTTGTTTTTAATTTTGAACTGTATAAAAGGCATTGATTTTGTTTATTTCTCTACTGGAAGAATCTTTCTAGTCTTCTTGTGGCTGTGTAAGGATATTATTAAATGTTTTAGGAAATAATTCTTCACAAATTGGTACTGTATACATTTTGATTAGAAACTATTATAGGAGCACATGATCCTATAGATCATTTGCTATGATTTTATGTTTTTGCCAGTCATGATTTAATAGTCTAGTGCCTTTAACAGTCTGTTTTGATTTGAAATCTGTTATGTAGTCTGTGTCTTTTTTTTATTAGTTCATTTTAATTATACAGAATAATGTGTTTATTGTGACATATTTGTACATGTAAATAGTAAGTTTTTCTTGATATACCTTGTTTGTCACAAATGATTTAAATGTAATTATGTTGCTGAACAATGAATGTCCAGAATTAGGCTTGGTGGCACACACCTGTAATCCCAGCTACTCAGAAAGCTGAGACAGAAGGATTGCAAGTTCAAAGCCAGTTGTGGAAATTTAATAATTTCCTACTGCTGTAGGCCTATATAAGAGAGCAGACCAAGACGATAAATGATGCCACAATCCAGATGTTTTTATTTTTATCAAAATAAAAAGGACTGGGGATACAGCTTTGTGTTAGATGTACATGGCCTGGATTCAGTCCCTAGTACTGAGAAAGGAAAAACAAAACAAAAAGCCAAAGAAAAGATTGTCTATAAAATAAAATATTTCATTTGCTCAAATTGAGCATATATATACAAAGATGTGGCATTCCTTCAAGGAATACATGTCCTTCAAGGTGTGTATTCTGGTCCTCAGAAGATCATGGTCAGTTCCATACATAGTTGTCCCTCAGTACCTATGGAGGATAGTATCGTTCAGGACTCCTGTGGACACCAAAACAGACATATAGTATAGGCATTTGCATTCACTTTTTTGCCCCAAAGAAAAGTGAAACCCTAGACCATTGGCTTTGTTTGAATATTTTAAAGAACTCATCATATGTTCTGTAATTATATGTATAATGTTAACCTCTTTAATTTGTGGTACTTCTCTATGTTAAAAAAACCATGTCCTGAACCACTTAACCATGCTTTGGTCTTGATTCTACCTTCTTCTATTGTCATCTGCTCTTGACTTCCTGAGGCTTAGAGCCACTCCAGGGCTCGAAGCAAACATCTCTAAAATCTGAGGATGGCATCTATGACACAGTGCAGATTTTCAGGAAGGACCATTAGGGTACCCTATGCCTAGGACCCAGTGCCAATTTGGGATCACAGTGCAACTTTGGGTGTCTGAGGCTTACTGAGTTGGTAGTGGATGAGCTGGACTGGATAGAAGTATAGAGGAAAGAGTAGGATTTTTATCTCTAACATTGACCTGTCCACATTCTTTTCAGATTTGACTTGAAAACACTGCCTGTAGACTTTGTAGAGTGTTTGATGAGGTTCTTGCCAACTGAGAATGAGGTAAAAGTGCTTAGGCTTTATGAACGGGAAAGGAAGCCCCTGGAGAACTTGTCGGATGAAGACCGTTTCATGATGCAGTTCAGTAAGATTGAGAGGCTCCTGCAGAAGATGACCATCATGGCCTTCATTGGGAACTTTGCTGAAAGCATTCAGATGTTGACTCCTGTGAGTAGGCTAGTTTGGAGGGCAAAGAGAGAGTTTGTTTTTTTCTTTTCCTTTTTTTTTTTTAAAGCATCTCTTCTGTAATTGCACTCAATGTAACAGACTCTAAAGAACTTCTAAGAACTTACTAGATTGATATTTTATTTCTGCCATCTTTTTTACATATGTATGCAAAGTACATTGAAAAATGGGGAAGTTCCATCTTCTGTGTTGCTGTTCTCCCAAGTCAGTGCCATTTTTTGTGTCTGTAGATGTCTTCTGAATTTTAGAAGACACTGCAGAGGAAAAGGAAAATGATTTTCTCAAACTTGGTTGCCTCCTTAAGATAATATTCCTTTGGCTATGTTGGCATTTCTTTAAAAAAAAAATTCCATATCTTTAGTGAGCAGGCTTATAAGCTTTTATCAGAGCATTACATTTGCCATAGGAGTTTTCTTCCTTTGTAACAGTAGTCTGTGGTGATGTGCAAATAATAGCCAGTTCTTTCTCATTCCCTGCGTTAATCTGGTTGAGACATGAATGTCATAAACTTCAGTTTGGAAAAAAAAATTAACTTCAGTTTGTTCCCAGTTCCGTTTCTAAATAAACTTTTGTTAGTTAGCACTTATAGTAGCAGGTCTATTCAAAACTGTTAGGAGAACTTATGGAAAGTATTATATAACCCCCATCTCCCATTCTTGGGCAGCTTCATTGATTTAAAAGCAAAAATTGTATATGATTAAAGATGGCAGGCAGGGAATTAAGTTTTGCCAGAAGAGGCTGTTGACTCCTGTTAACCAGTCTTATTGATTGTTTAATCACCAACTTTGTAACCAGTCTACAGTGTCTATATTATTACTATGAATAGTTTTAGAAAAGAGCTTGCATGTAATGATATGGTTACCTAGGATCTAGCCGGACAACTTAATTTGTTATGCTTAGGAAAAATAGAATCTAATCATTAAGACTTCAAGGTCAAAATGCAGGCCTGTTTTTTTTTTTTTCTTATGCTAGTTTTTAGTTTCCAATTAATTTCCCATTTTTAACATGTCTTTTCTCTCCCACTTCCTTCCTTTGATTGGAATCTAGCAACTGCATGCAATTATAGCAGCATCTGTCTCTATAAAGTCATCCCAAAAACTCAAGAAAATTCTGGAGGCAAGTGAAGTTTTCTTGTATACATCTTTAGAGAGCTGACTGGTCAGCTGCCTTCTGGGGCCTGAGAAGCTGTCATGATTGGCTTCGATTTTCTTTTTCTTTTGCAGATCATTCTGGCCCTTGGAAATTATATGAATAGCAGTAAACGAGGAGCAGTTTACGGATTTAAACTTCAGAGTTTAGATTTGGTGAGTAAACTGGAAGAAATGTGAGGGCTGTGTGAAGGACAGACAGCTGGCAGAGATTGTCCAGGAGCAGGGGGTCTGCTCTTGGGAGTGGGTGGGAGGATTTGATGAAGATTCTCTGCTAATGTGAAGGTCTGTTGGTACAGATTTTCTGGAACACCATTTGGCAAGAAGGACTTAAAACCTTAGAAATACATATACTCTTTCACTCATTATTTCCATTTCTAGGAATCTGTCCCTCAGGAGTCTGGATTACGAATGCTGTATTTTATTTTTAATTGCAAATAGTTAGCAATAAATAAAGTGTCCAGTATTGTGGGTAATGACTAAGTGCTGGAAAAATAGTATAATAAACTATTCTTCAGTTGTGAGAATCCTTGTGAAGAATTTTCAGAGAAAAAAGATAATTTTGTGTATAGGAAACAAAGCAGAGTATAAATTGAGGTACAGTTTAATTCCAGCTATGTAAATATATAATATAAAAGACTGAATGAAAATGGATTAAAATATTAACAGAGAGATTGGATGGAATTAGGAAATGTTTTACAACTTTTTAAATCTTTTTTTGTATTTTCTAGAAACAAAAATTTTTTTTGTTCTTCATCTGTGAAGATGATCTCCTTCTTTCAGTCCCATGATTTATATGAATAGTATTAGAGAACATTCTCCCTGGAACCTTGTCAAGGCTGTGCAGGCCTATGTAGCTTCCATGTGACAAGGGAGGGCAATGGACAGACTCCATGGCTGGTGGAGATGTGGTTATCTGACTGGAAGCGTCCAGTCAGTCACAGTCTTGGCCTTCAGAAGACCATGGTTAGCACCACATAGAGTTGTCCCTCAGTATTTTTTCTAGGACTCCTGTGGTTACCATAATCCCTAGACAGTTGAGTCCTTTCTATATAATGTGGTAGGATTTGCACATAATCTTAGAATGTCCCCCCCCATACTCTAAATTACCTCTAGATAATTTATAATACATAACCATGAAAATGCTCTGTAAATAGCTATGATATTGTATTGTCTAAGGAATGACAACAAGAAAAATAGATACAGTGGCCTGGCTTTCTCTGTCTTAGGCCACCAGAAGCTAGGGAATAAGAGAGGAACTGAGCAGAATATCAAGGTTGCAGCATCAAAGCCCCTGTACACCTCCATTGGCCCCACCTGCCACTCAACTGAAATCCTCTTAAGCCAGGAGAGGAGGGATAGTAGATGCTGGGTGAGGGATTCATGGATATTGGGTAAAACCCTAATGTTGAATATGTACCCTGGTGAGGATGTCTTCAAGTCATTTAAATACCAGTGGCGTGCTTCAATAAAGAATACATTGAATCTTGAATGTCCTCTGGGAATAATTTTTTCCAGCCTGTTGGGCAACTGTGCTCAGTTATTTTCTCTGGGTGGGAAGTTACCTGGTGGGTGGCCCTCCCACCATCCTTGTTCTTGAACCTAACCCATGCCCCATTTTGTTTTCAGCTCTTGGACACAAAGTCAACAGACCGAAAGCAAACGCTGCTGCACTATATATCGAATGTTGTAAAAGAAAAATATCACCAAGTGTCTCTATTCTATAATGAGCTTCATTATGTGGAAAAAGCTGCTGCAGGTACTAATTTCAGCTGTCATACTCTTAGGTATTGAATGCCTTTAATTTTGGGGGAACCATTCCTAAATAGACACTTCAGGACCCATTAAAAAAGGCAGGACCAAGAAGTCAGAAGCTCTGAGCTGCCAAACACTCTGGGGATGGTGCTACTCACTCCCCAGAGCCATTGTGAAATGTGACTTTTCTCAGCATCCTGTCAGAGAAGATCCAGGTCTTGGAGGCCTGTGTACCTTCTCTTGTGCATGCCTTGCTCATTTTGTTCTATTGTTATTGTATAAGAGTGAGAATCTGAGAATCTGCCCCCCCCCAAAAAAAAACCCTAAACCAAAAACAAACCAATAAAACCCCACTTTTAATTTATTTCAAGCCATTCCACTTGCTCAGATGTGGCACTTTTAAACCTTATGCCTTTGCCTGAACACTAAATTAGCAGTACTTTCTAGTTGCTCCTTTGTTATGGGTTAACATTTTCTTATTTCAATCACATGGATAGAAAGTGATAGCAACAGACTGGAACCTGTCTTTCTATTCCTTATATAGTATATTATGAGGAATATAATATATCATATTATATTAGTATGATGTTCTCTCAAGAGAGTATGTCATGTCATCTCAAAAGAGTATCATGTTTGAAAAAAGAGTGATATGCAAGTTGACCTTGGAATTAATTACTGACGGCAATTTTCAACTTGTCATCTTCAACCTTCCTGAGGTCTACTCCAAAAAGTTTCCTACACTCAAACTATTGGGGCAAGGTCTTTTATGATGCCCCTAGCCAGGCTAAATGGCTTTCATTTCTGTGAGCATTCTGTACTACCCTCTTGTTCAAGATTTATCAAATTTTATAACAGTTTGTATGTCCATTGCAACCTCAAGTTCTTAGGGGTGTAATCAGGCTTCATTGATCTTTATAATTCAGTCAGCCCCTGTCAGATTGGATGGTGGGAATAAATAAATGGGCAAATGTTGAATGAAATGGTACATGGCTGCCAGGATAGATGCTTCAGAAGCCCTAGTGGAAGCTGAGAGGCAGATGGAAATGATTTTTTGATTATGAAGAACAGGCTGGGACAGACCCATCAAGGCAGGTAGCAGAATTTATATTCTGCTGGAGAGGTTTCCCTTCTTTCAAGTTTTCCTTTGTCTAAATTTGGGTTCTTAAACATCTTAATTCCAATTAAGAAAAAAGTTAAGTAACAAATTCCTACCTACTAATTATTAGCGTACTTTGTTTGGCCCCAAAAGTGTCATTCGGAAAAAAAAAGAAAGAGAGAAAACCAATGGTTAAACTGTTCTGTTTGTTCTCTGGTGCCCAGGTGGGCTAACATACATTCTTTATATCTTCCTTTATATCTTCATCCTTCATTTATCCAGTACACACTTGAGGACCTTTTGTATATTTGGTGCTGTTAGCAGTATTAGATACTCAAAGACAAACCAGTGTGAGTCTAGTGTGAGGGAAACAGCCTGCATTGTGTATTCATCTATGTGCAGAGCTGAGTCAGGCAATGGGGAAACCAGAGGTGGGACCAACCTCCATGGGGAAGCTGACTTAGGAGGTTCCAGGAGTGTGTCTGCTCTGGACAGTAGCTTTATTGCGATGGAAAAATTAAAGCTAAAACTTTCTGAAGCAAGAATGGATTCTTTAATAAAAACAAACAAACAAACAAAAACTTTCCAAGGTTGCTTTGGGTCCTAGTGATCAGTTAACTGACCTTCAAGACAAAATGCTGCCCCCTTCTGAAGAAATATAGAAATGCAGAAGAGATAGAGAAGAAAAGATGTTTGGGCCTGTCCCAGACAAGGATCTCTGAGCCTTCAGGCCAACCAGTAGGCTGTTTCCTAGGAGAGAAATGGAGTAGTTATTTTGGAGTCCATGGTTGCTACCTGAGCTCCTTCTCTGCCGTCTAGTAGCTGGGTGGCTCAGGGTCTACCACAGATCTTTTTTTGCTGCTTTCTTGTTGGCAAAATGGGCTGATGTTGCAACCGAATCAGTGCATGGAAGGAATTTATTATAGTACTTGATAGACAGTGCTTTCTCAATTATTCATATTAAAGGATCTTTGTGCAAAAAACTGGGAACTAGATCCAAGGGCCCCAGTAAGATCCCTGAGATCCCTACTGAGAACTTGGTTGAGCAGGCGGATATGCAGTGGTTTTGACCCTCCTGGTGGAGGTTCATTGAAACCTTGCTTTCTCTGTTAGTCTCCCTGGAGAATGTTCTGCTGGATGTGAAGGAGCTGCAGAGGGGCATGGACTTGACCAAGAGGGAATACACCATGCATGACCACAACACACTACTGAAGGAGTTCATTTTCCACAATGAGGCGAAGCTCAAGAAGCTGCAGGATGATGCCAAGATTGCACAGGTAGTCTAAGTGCTGGACCCCTTGGGCCACCTGTGGCACTGGTCCTGGGTTCAGGGAGAAATGCTCCATTTCTCTGCCTGCAGAGGGTAGATTTCTTATGTAGCTAATAATTATTGGAGGGGTATCTTTCCTAGGTTATTCCTGACATATCCTTGCCCTTCTCATTGTGCTTGTCTAATTTGGGGTCTTCACCTTCTTATGTAAAGCCCCCTTCCCCTTTCTCTCCTAGATTCCAACCAGCACAGGTTCTGTATCTGGTTTAAGCAATGTGTGTGTGAACATGTGCTGTGCCCTGCTAAGCAGTGTCCCTGGTGTATCAGGTTTCTGTAGATCTTCTCCTCAAAATGTGAGACCACATGGGTAACAGAGAAATCTAGGCAATCCTACAAAACATAGTGAGCTGCACATCATCAAAGGGGAAGCGAAGTGCTTGGGGAACTTGGAAAGCTGTGACAGTGGACTGGCCTCCAGTTTGTAACTGTCTTGCATCGCAGAAGAGTTGAAACAGAGGTGGCATGTCCCCAGTGTGGGGCTGGGTAGGAGTGCTGAAGCGGGGCTGAGTCAGACTTCCAAGATCCCTCTGACCTTACTGTTTTTAAGGGGTTCTGACTTTATATGTTTTTAAGCCCATCCTTCTGTGTGTGGGGGAGTGGGGTGTAGAAGTGGCTGCATGTCTCAGAGATGAGTTCCTACACCCTGCTGCTACACAGTTCTGGTTGTCTTCGACCAACTGTCAGAGGAGACATGGAGGCTGGGAGAATAGTGGGAGTGAGGGAGCCAGCAGGGGCAATGAGCTGTGGAGCTGTGGCTGTAGCTGCTGCTTTCTTCAGTTTCTTTTACCTCAAAGCACCTAGTTCAAATGTTGGAACTAACAAGATTCAAGAGAAATCTGCTTCTTCATAGGACGCCTTTGATGACGTGGTGAAGTATTTTGGAGAAAATCCCAAGACAACACCACCATCCGTCTTCTTTCCCGTCTTCGTCCGGTTTGTGAAAGCCTATAAGGTAAACAGGAGAAGGGTGTCCTATAAAGCCCTCCTCATCATTCTTTCTTACCCAGGTGCCCTCTTTCAGATGGGTGTGAGTCCCAGYTGCCTTCTAGAGGCCTCCTGCTCCCTTTGGGTAGCAGATCTGGGTGTTCAGTGTAGAAATGGCTCTGGTAGCAGATCTGGGTGGTCAGTGTAGAGATGGCTCTACAGTCCTGTGGAGGCCGATAGCTCTAGGCCCCTCAGTCCACAGTGATTCAGTTCTCCTTCGAGGCAGGCCTGGTCCTCAGCAAACAGAAGCTGTTGGGTGCTGGGGTAGGTGAGATGCTCCAAGACCATTGCTGGCAATTGAGCCCAGATGCCAAGAGGGTGGGTTCCAACAGGTCTGTGGGGCTCTGGCTCAGAAGCCTTTTGAGCAGGGAGAGGATCATCGGAATAAACTGCCGAATGACATGAATATCAGCTACTGATTTTAAGGGCATTTGATTGCTGGATAGTGAAACCCAGAATCAGTGAATTGTCTCGTGAAGTGCAGATCTTCTCCTTCCATTTGCTACAATTTCTGACTCTAAGGATTCTGGAAGATTGACTTTTATCATTTTCATTGATGTGATTTTTTTTTTTTTACTTGCCCAGCAAGCAGAAGATGAAAATGAACTGAGGAAAAAGCAGGAACAAGCTCTCATGGAAAAATTGCTGGAGCAAGAAGCTCTGATGGAGCAGCAGGACCCAAAGGTAAGGAATCTCTAGTTTCCTGAGCTGGGCTCCAGGTGAGGCAAGTGGTAGAGAGGGGAACAAGCTGATTCACACAGGAGCCTGGTTGCTTCCTTCTGGGGTTTGGTGTGTGGAAATGTTCACTGATTACTTTGTTTATCAACCATTGGAATGAGGGTTAGAGCATGCTTGGGTAGCAYTGCCAAGTTTGTAGAGATCTGGATTTAAATATTAGCTGGGTATACCGAGAGGCCAAGCTAGATAACCCAGAGACTGGAGGGCTTCATGGTGATACCCCAGATTGCAACCTCAATTGCTAGACCTTTGCTGTAATTGGGAGGATGCCTGCATGTAGGGCAGAATCACAGGTAAAGGTCATAGAGGCCAGCAGCCTCTGCTCCAAAGCTGAAGACGTCTCCCCGTGAATTTTTCCAATTTCTTCTTTGGCTGCAGAATCCCACCTTCCCATGCTGCCTGGTGGGGCCTTGTGTATTCTGGATGAGAGTTTCTGTGTTTTTCCCTAAAGCTTCCTGAGTTTTTCTGCATTGAACAGAATGGTGGGATGATAGTATGTATTTTTGACTAAGGCTACTTATTAAAGTACATAAAGCTCAGGTACATTTTATATTTTCTTAAACTCCAAATGGGTGCTGGCCCCCCTCATCTCTGCCCTTCTTCTTTCTTCTCAGTCTCCTTCTCATAAATCAAAGAGGCAGCAGCAGGAGTTAATTGCAGAGTTAAGAAGACGACAAGTTAAAGATAACAGACATGTATATGAGGGAAAAGATGGTGCCATTGAAGACATCATCACAGGTAAAGGACACTTCCTCCCTGTGGCCCAGGAGATCCTGCTGGCCTCACCTAGACTGGGCCACAAGCCAATATGGCAGCTTTGTTTGACCAGGGTTGGCGAGTGCTTTAGTGGATGTTATTCAGATTCAGAATTATGCAGGGAGACTGCAAGCTCCAATTTGAAGTATACATATAGTAGCATATGTGCTCCCCACCACTCTCTGATAAATCTTTATTTTTCAGTATCATTTGAACCCTGTACTTTCAGTAGTCCTCTTTCTAATGGTTTTCCACTGTACTTTCAATAGTCCTCTTTCTAATGGTTTTCCACTGTTTTTGATTTGTCATCATGCTCCATTTTCCTCCTTGTGGCCACTCCTACTCAACTGCTTGGATAATAGACACTGTGGATAAAATTCATTCAGCTCTATACTAACCACAGTCCATGCAGATTTTCCAGAATGCTCTTGAAAAGCCTCTTTTTTTAAAAATTCAAAGTAGCTGAAGTCAATAGGAAATCAGGGACTTTAGATTAGCAACAGGCTTACAGGGACTGATCATTTTATCAGCTAGGAATTATCTTTCTTTGCTTGGTTCTTGTCTGATTAAATTCTAGCTTAATGCTTGCTGCTTGAACCAATTCTCCTGAGTTTCCATTCTTCTTTTTACCAGTCAGGATGATAAACTTGGGTAACTGTCTTTTGGAGGTAGTAGCAGGTAACCTTTCTTTCACGTCTCTTGTGCATGAATGCTATTATCAGCTTCAAAGATACTTTAAGCTTTCCATTATGATAAGGTTAAAAATATGCTGAAATATAGAGTACTTTGAGTGAGCCAAATTCCATGTACCCCTCACCCATTTCAACAATTACCAATTGTGGCCATCTTGTTGTATATATGCTGTAACCACTGTGCTCCCCACCCACCCTCATACAAACTTTGGAAATTTTGGAGGCATGTCAAGACTATAATTTCATTTACAAATATTTCAGTATGTATCATTAAAAGATAAGTACTATTAAAAAAACAAAAAAGTATACCCATAGTACCATTATCATATACCCCAAAGTAATAGTTCCTTAATATCAAATACACCGTCATTGTTCACATGTCCCCAGTTGTCCTAATTTTCAAAAAATATAATTCCTAGATTTTAATTTTTTATTATATCTTAGTTAGTATTATAAATAGGAATCTCCGATTGCAAAAGCCATAAATTTTTTTCACCTGCTCAAACCCAGGGAAGTTAGATATATAGACAGATTGGATAGATAAAAAAGGAAGTCAATAAAGATTCCCTTGCCCAAATTTAAGCAGTGTAAATCCTGAGTGGGTAGGTAAGTGGCCAATGCAGATGGTGTTCTTCACTCATGGCGCACACACATGCTTACTGTCTACGACCTAGGACACCGTGCAGAGCTTACACAAGCCCCTCAGGTTGAGCCCCCATTGTCTGGCGTTTGTCCTCGCCTCCTCCACACTGCGGGAGGAACTGCACTCTTGAGAAGGACCAGGAATAGCTCTCTGTCCTAGATAAGCACTCTTGGTCTCTGTGCCGCAGTGACATTAATGTGTAGGTAGGGAGACATGCAACCTTGCACACTTAGACTTGGAGCCCAGTTGTCATCAGTATGTCCTCCGTCCTCCTGACACCTGACTTTATACAATGAATGGAATGTGTATTTTTTATTTTCCTTACCTAAATCATTAACCTACAGAGCAGGTGAAAGAGCAGTTTTTATTCTCCTTAGAGTAGTTTCCTTTTTCTGTCCCTCCCCAAGCCCCCAGATTAACTCTTCCAGACTTTCATAAGCTAATTGGGGTGTATATTGCCTTTGCCCTTTCCTGCACCCCGCTCCCAGGTGTAATTAACAGAGCACTAACCTTGTGCTAATGCAGTAGACCGCACTCTCACTCTCTTCTGTTTGTGTTTGGCTCGTTTTCAATGCAGTGCTGAAGACTGTGCCCTTTACTGCTCGCACCGCCAAGCGTGGCTCTCGGTTTTTCTGCGAACCTGTTCTCACTGAGGAGTACCATTACTAAACTATTACTCTTTCTCACCTGATGTTCTTGAAAGGTTGCACAGGTTTTTTGACCTCTATGTCCCCCTGTGTCTGTCTGTTGGAGCCACCTTTGTGCCAGCATGGTACTGCTGTCTTCATCGTGCTGTATTTTGTGTTGTTTCGCTGCATGGATTTGCGTTCCCATCATTACTGCCCACTCACTGCCACTTTCAGTACATACACATGTCCATGTTGCCGTTACGGTCTGGATGGGTGGCGATTAATAGAACTGCCTGCAGACATTTTCAGAAAACAGAACACTTCAACTATCAGTAGATTGCTTATGCTATGTTGGGACTGATATCTTTGAACACAAAATGATAGTAACAGTAACTACTAAATCAAACATTTGAGCACTTACTGTGCACTAATAGTTTCACATAATGATAGTAACACAAAATGTAGTAACAGTAACTACTAAACCAAACATTTGAGCACTTATGTGCACTAATAGTTTCACATATATCAAACTGGCCCCTTTTTGTACTTCGTTAACATGCTTTGATCATAAGATGACCCACTGCATGGAAGTGCTCAGAAATGACAAGGGCTTGAATGCTGCCTCGTGATTTGCTGAAGAAACTGAACTGTGCTTGGCTATAAGTTGGGCCTTTCATAGCTCTTACCAGGCCATGGTATGTGGAACTCAAGTCATGAGCTTCACATGGTGAGCCCTTTCAACCCAGCAGCCTGTATGTGCTGATCTTGGTGATTCACAGCCTTACAACATCCCAACCCTGAGCATGTCATCTCTATTCAGTGTCATGCTCAAGTTCAGCAATCAGCAATTCAATGTTGGAGCAAAGCTGCAAGGTGGGAAGTGAAAACACAGGATTAAAAGCACTCCTCACCATCATATTTCTGCCTCTTCACTGGTGGCTCTATTCCATGTCAACCTGGGTATTTCATCTGTGATGAAGCCATATATGGACCTGCCTCTTTGGTCAGGGTAGTGGTAGTATTAGTAGAAATACTATAGCAAATACTTTTCATCAGGCCAGGTGTGGTGGTGCACACCTGTAATCCCAATGTCTCTGGAGGCTGAGGCAGGAGGATAGCAACCTCAGTAACTTAGTGAGATCCTGTCTGAAAAAATAAAAAGGGCTGGAGATATGGCTCAGTGGTAAAGCATCCCTGGGTTTAATCCCCAGTACCAAGAAAACAACCCCCCCAAAACAAAAACCCTAGCTTCAGTAAAGGCCATTTAGAATTAAAAAAAAAAAAAGGTCAAATTTTTCCAATAGGTGACTTTTGGGGCTTATTTTTTGATACTTAAAAAAAGCAACAGACTTCTTTCCATGCCTAGAAAATAGACAAGAGTGCACTGTGTGAAAATAGCCATTACTTGACATGGAACCGGGTCAGTATTTATCTTGTAACATAACTATTCTATGAATTGTACTTGTTATGCATGTGTCTTTGTATCATTGCCTGCTCTGCAGTGTGCTTACCCATCAGTGCTTACTAACCAGCTGGAAATTCATCTGCTTAGGCTATGTTTGCTGTCAGTTTTGCTGCTGGACTGTCTGTCTTTCTGGAGCCAATCTTCAAAGCAGCTTGGAACTGTGTGGTCAGAGAGCTGGGTGGGAAGCCACACTGATTGTCTCCCTGTTTTATCTAACACTACTTGTAGTAATGGCCTCCTGCTCTCTTCTCCTTTGGCTAATATGCCCAGGAATGTTAGACACTAAGTTGAGTTGCTTTCCATTTTCATCCCATTTTTACTTAACCATCATTTTGTGTTTTTGTTTTTTTTTCTGTTTAGCCTTAAAGAAGAATAATATCACTAAATTTCCAAATGTTCACTCGAGGGTAAGGATTTCTTCTAGCACACCGGTGGTGGAGGATACACAGAGCTGGCAAGCATCACTTTTTACTTAGCTTCCTCCTCTCTCTGTATGCACATCAGTGGTTTCAATTTGTGGCAAAGGGTAATACTGGTGAGAATCTGACCAGGGAGCCTCTCTGTTGGACTCTCCCCCAGCCTACTATGTGTGATGGCTTGGGCAAGGGTATTTGTTGGTCACTGTATTTGCTCTGGGTTCTAGGCTGTCCTTCCCTTATTGCTATTCTTAGCCTTTGAGTTATTCACAACTCCATTTTGTTCTGGAGGTCAACATCAGGTCCTGGCCAGGGAACATGATATACAGCCTTTGAAAGATTAGTATTTTTAACTAATTTCTCAGCGAACTCCAGAACCACAGAGCTGGATATCCTTAGTCTAACATGGAATTCCGACCTTCTAATTTACCATCGTGGGCCAGGGTACAGGAGCTTCAGGGGATTAGAGCATGCATGCCTATTCTTTGATTAAATTTAGAGGAATAGGGGAGGATCACAAATTCCAACAGTTTAGCAGCCAGGAAGGTAACAGGCCTGGTGGGACCTGTTGAATCTGAGAGGATGTTTCGGTCCCACTCAGCTTCAGTTTTGTACTATGTAAGAATTTGGACCCAGTATTGACCGATTTTCTTATATTTCAAGAGAAGCCAGAAGAAACCCTAGATTATATATCTTAATTACTGATTTAGGGTCCAATAAATATATTTTGGAACAATGGTACATGCCTATAATCCTGGACTCAGGAGGCTGAGACTGAAGGATCTTAAAAGGACTGGAGGGAGATGTGGCTCAGTGGTCAAGCACCCTGGTTTAAATACCAGTATCCCCCCCGGCTCCTGAAAAAAAAAAAAATAGTAGGGAAGGGGATTGAAGTGGGGCAAATATTCTGTGGGTCAATTGACTTGTAGGCTCCATTTTCAACTTACTGAGTAAGTGAAGGCATGAAAAAGGTTAAACTCTATAAATAAATACAGAATTAAACCAATTTAACCTTTTTTCCTAGAAGTCAACAATACTAAGTTCATAAAAGGAAAATACATACTAAAATTAAATAAGAGGAATAAGCCTGCTTTATTTATTTATTTATCCATTTATCTTGGCTTCATCAAGAGGAGGCTAGGAGCTGACTCAGCTACAAGCCTTATTCCTGGAAGCATGCCTTCATACTAGGAGGATCTACATAAACTTCCTCTGTCCATTCCTCTAGAGTGGTATCTTCTTGAACCAGTATGCAGTGATTTGATTCACTCAAGACTTGCTTTCTTTTTAAATGTAAGGCTAATTGTTTTGCTCTAGCAACACAAACTGGAAAATGAAGAAGGGCCTAACAGCTTCTCCCTGCAGATAAAACACAAAAATACTGGGTAGCAGGAAAGAATTTTGATGGAATGGAGTATTATTTTGAATTTAGATTTAATGGTTAGTTGAGCATTACATTTCTAATTCACAAAATAATAAACTCAGCTAGTCTAATGGAATAAAAACAAGGCAAYCTGTGTCTTAAAATTTCAAGGATAAGATAGGACAGGCAGTCTATTTTATTAGACTGTTTTATCTAACACTACTTGTAGTAATGGCCTCCTGCTCTCTTCTCCTGTTTAAAATTAATTAAAATTATTGTGCCATTCAAGCTTYCAGAAAAAAATACAAGCCACAACTGCTACCATTTGAAGAAACATTTCAAAGACTTCCGCTAGACTCTGGCCAGTGACAAAAATATCCCGTGTTTTTTCTCTCATGTCCCAGAATCCTACCAGTATTACATCTTATTTTGATTGTAAATATTTAAGGCAAATGTATGTCTTTGGTTCAATGCTCAAAGAGTTTGTAAGGCCCATTAGCTGAGTCTTCTACACAAGCTGCTTTGATTGGCTGCCAACTGGCCTTTGCGTTGCTTAGATGCATATTAAGTTGCTTTTATTTCACTAGCACTCTCTTCTTTACAGATCTTAGAAACCAGCCATACCGAAGAGCCGATGCGGTGAGGAGAAGTGTTAGAAGGCGCTTTGATGATCAGAATTTGCGTTCTGTTAATGGTGCAGAAATAACGATGTGAACCCAAGACCTGCCTGCATGAATAGAGGGTGTGCGTGAATGAAACTGCCCATGTAAATTTCATGTGCTACTATTTAGCTGCAGCCTTGAACACAGATAAAATAATTCCTAAGGGCTCAGATTAGCAAATACATAGGAATTTTAAAATGATGGGTTCTCCTTTCAACCCTTGTTAACAAGTGCCTAAAAATGGAAGTACCTGCTCAGATTAATCAAAGCAATAGGATTTGATTTGATTAGGTATCTTTTTACACTGGTATGTTATTCAGTTTTTTAACCAAAATGTAAATTTCATATTAAATTCATTACTTGCCATTGTGTTTATGCCATGATGGCCCACCCTGGTTTCCTGATAAGTTGTAAATAACATGGATGCATCTGCTTGGGGCTTCCTTTGCTGAGATGTCTTTTAAGGAATTAATTTTGTGTTACAGCTACATCCATCAACTTTGTGTTTTTAAGGACTTGCAACATAGAAGAAGGAAAGAGTCACATAAAGTCCTTCTAACATAAGCCCCAGTAAAGTGCAAACAAGATCCAAGTATAGTGGCACAAGAAGTCACTCAACTCTGCCTCGTTTCATTCTACCACTTTTGTGCTAGAATGCCATACCCTGTGAGACGGTCACTGGTTTGAAATCCAAGATGAGGACATAAAATGTTGAATAAGACTTATTTGCAATACTGTGTTCTTAAGCTAGAGGCAGCTTTTTAAATTATGCAAATATATTTATTAAATAACGCTAAAATTAACCAGTAGTAGGATTTCTGAGGATTTTTATGGGTCAATCCTGAGAATAGAAATTGGTGCCTTGCTCGTCAGGGAGAAGTTTACTAGCTCTATCAATAAGCATTCAAGATTTTATCTGTTGTTAGCAGAGTAAAGTTAGGAACCTGGCCTTATTCTCCTCTCCGACAATCGCAGGGCTTTTCTTTCCTTTTGTAAATTGTTCATGTATTTCCCAGCTATGAGGAATCAAAATTAAGTTATTGAAAAGTATTACCATTGGTATTAAATTTGAATAAGTAATGGGACTAAATGGTCAACTAAGTCATTGTTATTTCCTTCCTCTCACGCAAGGCACTTGTTCCATTCCAAAGTCAAAAACTGGACGGAAACAAAATTTGTATTTTTCATAATATACATTCTGCTTCTGGCTTACCTTCTTGGCACATTACATCAGTATATTAATTGTAAAGTTTATTGTATAGTATTTAACCGCTGATTTTATGTTGTGCTTATGTGAACCCCTTGGTGAAGATCTCTTTTCCTTGGATAATGTGTAGTTATATCTCTTTTTAAATGTACAGATATTTTGCTATAAAATTGGTGCAGTTTTTTATGGTTTTTACACTTCTCTTTAATTCCCACCTAAGATTCTGGGTAATATTGTAAATATTGTTTAAAAATGCATCAGCCTATGCTATACAATCTGAATGTTATTTTAACTTATAGTTCTTTTTTTTTTAATATATATATTTAACTACAAGGACAATTTAGGGATCAGTTACCACATTTCACTTTAGTGTACCTATTTACAGATTAAACTGCCACCTGCTGGAGCTTTTCCACAAGTACTTTAAAAAGAACATGCCAAGATTTTGTCTTTGGGTTAAATCAACTTTAATTTTGATGAAAATAGCAAATTGACCATGACATGTAAGATCAATAGTTGGACCTACCACAATGCAGCTATTTCCCAAAGGTCAAAGCTGACATGCATATTAAAAAATAATTCTCTGTTAATGTACAAATAGACAATAATGTTGGCATGTTCTTTTCTGTGTCTATTAATGGGCCTGCTTCTTAGCAATATTAGAAATGTTTTATAAAAGCAATTCATGTTACTTTTCTGGTCTTTCCATGCCACACAAGCAAATAAAACTATTTACTACTATTCTGTAAAAATATGTTGTAGTCTTTCAGTAGTAAATTTTAGGGGGAGGGTAGCAGTTTTACCTCTAGAAACAGGCATATTCTTGCTATTTGAACTCAGAATCCAAAGATGACTGGCAATTAGAAAAACTTCTTCATTATATGAACTCTGATGGGATCTCTCTGTATTGCCCAGGCTGGTTCTCAAACTCCTGGCTTGAGATTCTCTTCTCACAGACTCATTGGTAGCTGAGACTGTAGACATGCATTGAGATGCCTGGCTTGCTTTATGAACTCTTGGACCACCTGCTGTGTAGAATGTAGGAACAAAACAGCTTTTGGTATTGAGAGATGTATCTCTAAAAATCTGTATTCATAAGTTTAGAGAGAGAACATTCTCCTTTGGTGAAGACACCACCCTCCAAATTTAATCAGGGTATTGTACAAATAAATACAAATAGGTTATGCGTAGACTGTATAGAGGTAAGTACCTGCCAACCACAATAGGCCCAATGCACATGCATACCGGTATTTGTAACAAGTCATCAGAAAATTGTAATGCTTATATATTTTATGGAAGCAAGAAATATTTTAGAAGATATTCCAAGTGGCTTAAAATAAACCTAGAGGAATATAATTAGTTGCTTAAGGAATTGCTGTTACAATCAATAATTCTCTCACACTGCCATTTGTACTTTTAGATTTACTACACTTGGCTATTTATAGATTATATGCAATAATCTTATTTCATCCCCTCAGCAAGCCTGAGAAGTATTAACACTGTCATACACAAAGGAAACCAACTAAGAAAAATTGCTTTGCCCAGGGTCATAAATCTAGTAGGTAGAAGAGCCTGTACAAGCATTGGTTCCCAATTCAGTGAACTTCACCCTAACCAGTTAYACAATGTAGGTGAGATTCTTATAAAAGGGAGGAAAATCTGAATCCTGAAATAAGAATCTCTACTTTGCTTTATACCAGGACATATGTCTAATGGTAAAACATTTTAAAGAGAGGCACTGGATTTGATCCTTAGCACCACATTAAAAAAAAAAAAAAAAGATATTGTGTTCATCTACAACTAAAACAATTTTTTAAAAATTTGAAGTATTTAATATCCCACAAATTCAGAAAGTTTAAAAAAATAAGACAGATATTATTTGTTTTGAGGGTGTAGGGGGTGAGTACTRGAGATTGAAACCAGGACCTTGCACATGTGAGCAAGTACTCTACCACTGAGCTATACCTTCACCAAAGTGTTTAGAAATGTTTACCCATGACTCAGAACGATGTACCATTGTGCTCCCTATTTCCCATGCTCCACCATAAACTTCACTGCAATGTCCAGTGACCCTCCTGACACAATTTGCCAGGCACAGAATGGATCATCACTGACTCTGTTTTGGGGTGTTTGACATACTGGGTTTTTCTCTGTATAATATCTAATTTTACACTGGAAAATGTAATATTTTTTAATAGCTTTACAATTCACATGCCTAGTAACTTTAGTATTTGATAAAACAAAACTCTTCTGGTAGCCCTAATATACTGTTTTCTAGTATTTATTATCAGAAATGTCTACAAAGATGAATTTATCGGTACAGTACATACAGAAGAATTGTTTTCCATTTCTATAAACAAACATCCACCTATTCCCAAGAAAAAATTGGACACAAGAAACGCATGAAGGTCTTTTTTTTTTTTAAAGGGGTATTTTAAACAGATATTACACTGAGAAAACAGGATGTGGGCATTTAACAACTCAAAGAACTGCTTGCTGCCTAAAGGATGCTAAAAGAAAAATGTTGACAGGAATCCAACTCATTTAGTAAAATATGCCATTTTTCTAGTAAATTCTATTTACAAAAGGTGAGATATATAACTGTACAGATGTGAAAACCTGGCAATTACAAATAGGAAACAAACCTTGCTCCTTCTATTACTCACCTTTCAGAGTAAGTCCTCTCTTCGGTTATAGAGGTAGGCAAGAAAACTAATACCTACCGAAAATATTTGTAGGCAGGACCGGAAAAAAATGCTTATAAATAATACACTAAGATAACCTAAAGAATAGCATTCAATAGCATCAAGAAATGGCTTAGCTTGAATCCGATGTGATTTAGCCAGTCATTCACTGTTTCAGTCTAGACTGGGGTGGGAGTAGAGATTAGCTAGTACCTCTGGAATGTAAACAACTTTATACCTAGTGTAATTACCATCAAATTAATGGTCAATTACCAGTCACTAACAATGCATGAAATAGCCTTGAACTAGATCCCATTGAGAATTGTAAGCCTTTCTAATTTCTAAGTCTATGAAGCAAGCTTAAGAAGAGAATTTACTATCATTAAGGAACCTGAGTTTTCATCAGGTAGACTAAAATAAAGAAAGGGCTAAGAACAGTGTTGGGGTAGTTGAAGCAAAACCATCTGTCACTTCCTAGCACCCCTTTAAGTTAGCTCCAATAAATGGGAATGGCTGCCATGTCACCATGACTCACCTCTATTCAAAAATAGCCCCAAAGGATTAGTTTTTCTTAGAATCAGGATTGATTCTAAGATTTTTCTGAGAAACTTTTGGACACTTTCGGGATAAGTTAAGGTATAATCACTAGACCTTATTTTAGATGTACTTCAATGTGGCTTAAACTGTGGGTTAGTGATGTCTTTTAAAGCCCTTCAATAAGCATGATGGGTACCATGGTTGCTAAATGAGTACATTTATAAACTAATATTTTACATTCATTCAGTAAGTGCTTATTATGTGCCAGGCACTGTCCTACTTCACAGGGATATATACAGAGCAGTGAACGATAAAGACAAATCCCTGCCGAGGAATGAATTACGTGACTACCACTTTTAGAAAACTTAAAAAGTATAAAATAAGCTAAGAATTGCTAGACTGGTATGTAACATTGTCAAAAGCACAGAATGAGAATATAAGTCTCTTAGAACATAGTTCTATGAAAATAAATCACCTTATTTTGCTTTTACGTAAAATGAGTGGCTTATTTTTATTTTTTTGGTAGGAGGGACAAAACCCTTAGTACTGAACCACTAAGACGCATCCCCAGACTGTTTTTGAGAGAGGGTCTGCCTAAATTGCTGAGGCTGGCCTTGAATTTATGATCCTCCTGCCTCAGGTTAGTAGACTACCACCATGTCCAGGGGGTACAGTTTAAAGCAGTAAGGATAGCTAAATTAAAATCTATCTGGGGCTGGGGATGTGGCTCAAGCAGTAGCATGCTCGCCTGGCATGCGTGCGGCCCGGGTTCGATCCTCAGCACCACATACAAATAAAGATGTTGTGTCCACCGAAAACTAAAAAAATATATATATATTAAAAATTCTTTCTGTCTCTCTCATTCTCTCTTTAAAAAAAAAAATCATATCTGGAATTGACAGAGACATCTGAAAGGAAAAATGAAATACAGAGAGTTAAGGAATTAAAGTACAAAGTACTTAGCTTTCAAAAATGTTTAGTTTTTCAATTTATAAATTACATATTGTTTGAAACTATGAACTTTCCAGAAAAAGAGCACAGCAACAGTTTGTTTATCCTACCACTTGGAATTACCTTAATTTAGAAAAACCTTTTTCTATTTGTATTTGGGTAAACTCAGGCTCAATTAAGCAAAAGTCAAAAGAAGAAATAGCTGTGATTAATCATTATTCAAATTTACTTGGCAGCATAAAAACTACTTTTATGTTACTAAATAAGATAGGACCATGGTTTTTAAGAGTACATTATTTAAATTCACTTAGATAGCAAATAATTCTTAATACCTGATTGGTTAAATTATCTAACTTCTCATACTAATTCAATTTTCCCAACATGTTAATATTATGGACTGGGAGAAAATAAGAACAATTTTTGAGATCCTGATTTTAGCTATGTTAATTGTATTAATGAACATTATCCAGTAATTCATATAATAGTGATGTTAAGGGGAAAAATAAACCCTCAACATTGTCTGGGCCTTATGTTTGAACACAGTAATGGAACCAATATACCAAGATATTTCAGCTAATCTATTAAGTTAAAAATACCCCCCCTTTTCTGTTTTAATAAAATCTCCCATCACCTATTCCTTCAGACAATAAGCAATCTCTGGCAGCTAGATCAGTCACTTCATTCACATCTTTTATAGGAAAGATGTTGCGTTTGAGTTACCACGTGTTAACTTATTAGAGCAAATAATTTGCATGGGTGAACTACAACTGAATTTATATCTTGGAGGAACTGGAAGATGTAGTAAGATTACAAAAAAAAACCAAATCTATTCTGAGGACATGCTAAAACATCAATAACTTTTTATTTTAAATAGAAAAATCAAAACTTTTTTGAAAACTGTACTTGAAAAATCATCAATCATGGAATAATTAAAGCAATGTTTTACAGATTCTAAATTCTCTTGTGAAACATTACTAGTATATCTCCCAGTATTATATGCATGTTTTAAAGATTTGGCCATTGACTTCCATGTCAGGTGTTTAACATGATTAGCAATCTATCATTAAAATGGGAACTCTGAAAATTAATTGCCAGAGTTGTTAGGTGTTTTGACTAATATAACCAGAAGAGACTAATCTTAAGCAAGTGATTCAATTTCACATTTTCTCAAAGATGATGATTCTCACTTTGTATCTACAAAGTCATGTCATATTTCATAGCAGAAAAATGATGTAGCAGAAAGGATTTTATAAAAAAAAAATTCACCCCCTTTTATTGAGCCAGTGGAAACTAGATTTAATTAAAACATAGGGCAGGATGGGAAAGAGCTGTCTTGGTCATTTTCACTTTCAAGCTCATTAAGATAATGAGGAAAGACTTTTCTTGTAAATCTCAACCTGAAATAGGATATCTTAGTGTCCAAGTTAAAAGAACAAAGATAATACCTACAATAATACCAAAGACTGTGCTAAAATTTTCTTTCTTAAAAAAATCTCCTGCACTGAAGGAAAATAGTATAAATTACATCACTAACCTTCAAAAGTTAGCATGTAAAGGGTATTCTATCTT